TTATAGCAAATTTTTCCATAAACGTATCGTGTAATGTTAATGATCATATTCTTAAATGGCAGTTGAATAATGTGTTGAAGTCTCAGTGCTTTTTCCGAAAAATTGGTTTCTTTTTGACACTCCAGTTTCGAATTAAAGTATACTTTACCGAAAAGTCAATCGAATCTGGAATAGTGGCTGTTGACTTCCTGGTAGAAATATGTTTTACAACACCGGATCATTTGCACCTGATTAAGAGTTATTTTAAAAGCGTACCAGTATTTAGTCGTTAAGATGCCTAAATTTGATGAACATAACCGGTTCAAAGATGACACAGTTACTCGGTTTTCGACAACGCCTTTACATGTAACAACTTTATAATCTAAATGTATCAAACTAGTCAAGTCATAAATCAAAAATGAATAGGTTCGAATACATATTTGGAAAGCTACGGATATGTCGGGATGCGTTTGGTCTAATGTGGCTGGCAGTCGAACGGCATACCCACTTGTGATCTGGTGACGATGAGTGACCAAGCGATTTCATCTAGTCCTTGTACAGTAAAACCAATGAGGTCAGGATTAATAACGAAGACATACAGGACTATTTGTTTTGAGAATTTATTTACCGCCACAAGTTAAAGTGATGTTGAAGAAATGAAGGGATTCTTCAAGTTACAGGAGAAAGTGATTGACTTTTAATGGGAGAAGTCATAAAGTACAGATAGAATTTAAATATGCGTGAATTTTAACGTGATTTATGAGTTTCTGAAGTTAAATGTGGTCCCAGTTTGCAATCCTAACTCTGAACTCCTAGGTAACGTCATTTTAAACACTTCTGAATATAGTATGCTTGTTTTGTTTGCCGAGTAACACTCACTTAACTGACTTGGATTCAACAAGTGTCCTGTTAAAATTGATCATCGAATTACTGGGTTTAAATGTCATTTTAGAGACCAGGGACATATGAAATCAGATAACATTCGCATCAATGGTCAATTCAAATTAGTTATCTGATAAAGATTATTTTGTAGCCCAAACACTCCTGGACGAACGCAGTAGCTATGTGCAGGGTGAAGTTCACATACGTCGCAGAGTCATGGTTATAAGAGATTTAAACTCATGCATTCAGTCAGAATAAATTTGTTTTGGCCCTCCGATCTGACAGTCAACAGAGAACAATAGCTACTAGTAAATGTGATTTACCTGGATGAATGTGACTTAAGCGGAGTACATACTTTCTAAAGAAGGGCGTGATATGACCGGTAAGTTCAAGTGATTCAAATGCTATCGTACGTCTAGTAGGTTGAGGATACAAGTCTGAACAAGCTATTATAATGAAGTCAAAGTTACCACCCAAATGTCCATGTCATCCAATGACTTATGTAAACTCAAATATTATTTAGATTCAACAGCACAGCATTCCATGAAGTATTTGCCTTCTCTATTAAGATAGCTGACTGGTCAAGCGTTTAGAAGTACGTAAGTGGTTGGATAAAGAGGCAAAACAGAATATGACATCATGACTACTGTTAAAAGTAATGACGATTACTTTGTTGAATCGAATTCAAGACGATGGCCGTGCAACATCGTGGATCGGTGGAAGTTAGACATTAACGCCGATGGATGTTGGTTCAGTGGTCTAGAGGTTGAGTGGTTGCGCGCCAGACTGAACGTCATGGGCTCGAGTCCCGTGTGGGGACCGTGGATGCACACTGCTGAGGGGTCACGTACTATGACGAAACGGCCGTTCAGTGCTTCCAGGTTTCCAGGGGTTGTCGAACACTGATCGGTTCATGATCTCAATTGAAACTCAGCGATCTCCACAACACTATACTGATGAATTCAAGACGAATGTTCCATCGAATCTTTATACTAATCAAATAACCCGTTTATCCGAGTTTATCCAAAATTTCAAACACTTTGAACTGTATAATAATGAATTCAATAAACATATTTTTCATCTGGAACAGGTTGCTATGGTTGGAAGCTGGTGTTATGTAGGACATTGTGTCTTTTAGCTGGACCTCTCGAATTTTGTTTCGTCGATGTACTTTTTGTCTCTGAAACGCACACACAGGATCAATGTTCATTCATCCGTTTGACGTCACTTTGTGATTACGAAGACTCGACACGTCTATACGATTGACTCGAATAAATCACATAGTCATCAACCATTTTTGAATGGACTCTAATCGGGTCTGTTACTCATTCTGGAACATATATATTGTTCCGGATCCTCCTCTAATTCCAGCATGTAGTTCTCTGTCTCAATGAACTTAGAGCGATTATGTGAACAAAATCCTCCAAAGTTTAATTTTATGACGAAATTGTAGTGACCTACTTTCCATTTTACCAATCGTGTTCTCGATTGGTATAATGGAAGCAATTATTGGTATAGCCGATTTTACCGGTGATTGTTTTACTGTACCTGTTTGTCTAAGTGTACCAAGGAACACTCTCTTCCGCTGTTTTTGGTCTTGCACGAATTCCCGTACGCTCATTAGTCTCGCTTGTAGATTTTGGCATGATCTCGGTGCCATTTCGATACCACGAGATCGCCAACAAATACATCTTAACTACAGCCTTCAACCGCCTTCTGATATTTGGCCTACGGAGAGGTCTAAAATGGTGACTGGCATGTAGTCGATCTGTAGTAATGACCATAGCCAACCGCGACTCGACACCTACTACAAAATATTAGGAATATATTTCAGGGGCAGCTACAGAAGGATCCAGTCAACCATTGAAACGGTATCCAAACAGAGATAGTTTGGCATGATATATGGAAGATTATAAAAACAGCATTGACATGTAATAGCAAGCTTAACTGAAATGTTAGGAAAAATTATTTGATTTCAGCGATGTCTACTGAATTGTTAGGTGCTTGGGAACTTATTTATCTGACTTTGAACCGATGGACAGAACAGTTCAACTGGCCTCCAGTCACACTTCACTTACCCGCTGTCTCCAAGCAACCTGAATGACAAACTTACACAAATCCTCCGAATTTTAGTGAGATTGAGGACATAAGTGATATAAAGCGAGGGGGAGCCTCAGGGCCTGATGTTCCAGTCCGTGAGATTTTTAGGGATAGTGGTCCAATTTTGGCTGTAGGATTAACTAAAATATTGTCTAAAATCTGGGAACCGGGCCCAATCTCATCTGACTAGTCTCGATCGCTTATCGTGGCAATCTACAAGAAGGGACAGAAATCCCCTAATGACATACAAAACGGAGTCAGCTCAACTAATTTAATGTCTAAAACATTAGCCTCAATAATATTTCGACGTCTAATTAGAGCTTAATTAAAGCAAATTTGAGAAAATCATCTTGGTTTCAGATCTGAATATGGGTATGTAGATCAAATATTCACCCTTGGCAACTCCTGGGACATGGACATACTTTTCAACGTCCAACTATTGTTGTATTCCTTGGCCTTAATGTATCGTCCAGCTTGTTGTTCGTGAGGTTCTGTGGAAGTGTCTGTCATCGAAAATAGTACGAAAAAATATTAACTTTGTACAGGATCTGTACTCGGACACTTCAGATCGAGTCAGAGCGTGTGGCGATTTTTCATCGGAATTGGTTACTTCAAGTGTTGTTCGTTAAGATTATCCACTTTCTGTTAAATTCTCTTGCCAGGATACTCATCTGTTGACTGTTTAGTGAACATGTTTACACAATGCAGGTTTTTTAAACACTTTAAGCAACAATACAAGCATGCTCAGGATGCGATTCTACCCCTTCAAATGTAAAATGTCATTTTGTGATTGCCTTGCGTCATTGACGGAATTAGTGATGGGCAGTGATGTAATTGAACTTTTCTACCACTTCACTTGTCTTGGAAGTGTCATCGGGACTGGTTGTCCGGTGTCTGAAGAGGTACCGACAAGGACTCAGAAGGCTAGACTGGTTTTTGTTAACCTGAGTCACTTGTAGCGTAAGCGGGATATCTGTCTTCCAAACAGAGAGCGAATTTAATACGAAAGAGGTTTCTCCGTTCTATTTTATGGGTGTGAAGCATGACCATTAAGAATAGAGTATACTGGCAGGATTTTAGTATATGAACCATAGATATCTTCGAAACATCACTGATGTATTTTGGGACCAATGAGTAAGCAATACTTGGGTTAGGGGTAGGTACATATTTAAAGTTGTGAAATCGATTGATGAGGTAGTTAATCTTTATTAACTGAGATAGTTGGAACATGTGTAACTTATGATGAATCACTGCCTACCACACAGACAGATCAGTCAGAAAAATAGGACAAAAGTATATTGTGTTTTACAGGACATATCTACATATATTTGGTCACTCGCTCAATTTCTCATATTTTTCTTCTTATAGATGGACGCACACCAGTATAGACCATACTCAATACAACCCCGAATTTCATGACAACAATGGTCCTACCGAATCAGTGTGAACAAGCGAATTGATGGAGAAGATGCTCAGAACATCTCATATGTTACCATTTAATACACTATCGTGACACAACACTCGAAATATACTTCCGGAAGATTCAAATAGGACATACGCCTTACTTTGTACTTCCAGCAGGAATTCTTTCTCCAAAAGCCTGTTATAGCAACTACTTATAGACCAGTAACAGAAATGTGGCCTATTAACTGTAAGATCACTGTACCATATCTGGATTATTTTCAGATAACAGTTCATCCTTGAATTACAAAATCTACACAATGCACTAACGTTGACGCCGTGGATTTCCGTTTCAATTTCATCAAACGTATTTTATGCACCGACATTTGTTATCTTATTTCTGTGGCGAAACTCTCGTTACAACGCACCACGTGAACTGGGTAGTCTAGTTTTTTTACAATAAATTTCGTAAAATTTTTTAACAATCTGATCTCGCCCTGTGAATTGGCATGTTTTACATAAGTAGTGGTTATTTTCCAGTAAATTAATATGATTATTGTTACTATCATTATTAACTTTACAGTATCTGAATAGTATTTGATTAGGTCTACAAAACCATTTTATTCCCACAAAAATACGGGGGATCAAATTAAGAAATCGACTGTGTTAATATGCTCAACAACTACTTGTCAATGTAAGAAGCTGTCTTCGTCCATCAGGGAACGACCGCTTACGCGAAAAAATCCAATTTATACCAGAGTTAACCAATTGAACTAAAAGATAATAATTACATGAAAATTCAAGGATCGCACAGCAAATTACTTGTCAGCAAAAGTAAACATTCCCAACAATAATGAAGAAGTTCATATCCATTCCTTATAAATCAGTTTAATCAAATCAAACAATAATAGTCAAGAACTAGTCCACCCAACATAACAGTCGCCAGAATATGAAGTTGACTAGCACAAAATCTATTATCGTCATTAAAAAAACGAAACAGAATCAAAACCTTAAAACAATAACAAAATAATAATTTCAGATAGATCAAAAGGTTAACACAAAACACATTTATGTAGATAGTTAATGGAATAATTTTACGCATAAAGAAAGAAAATATAGAAAAAACGTAGTTCAAGGGAATTTAGGACAGATTCACGACTGTCAACACAACAACGTAGAGAAATGATCTTACGACAAATTCTTAAACTGCTATTATGGGGTGTGCAACATTGATATTTACAAGTGGCAGTTTTGGATTGTTCGGTTAAGTTGATCTAATTCACGTAAATGATCCGATTGGCTCATTCAGCAGAATAACATTAAATTGAAGCATTAAAATGAAGTTGAGACTTGATTTTTACAAAAAAATCACTATACATAAATAACTTGCAAATTATTTACTAATTATGAATACAAACTAGTTGGATAGATTTATTTCACTGTTATCCAACAACATTTTTATAGATTTATAAGCCAAAATTACCCAGTAAGTAATATGTTGGGATTTATGACATAATTTAATGAGTCTAACTAGTAACTGACAGCATCGTTGAAGAATCCTGATAGCTGTTTTTAATAGTGTATGATGTTTATGAAAGTAATATTTAAATATCATTGTCACTTTCTATTATTTTAGTAAATCTTCCAAATATAATCAGGTTAAGGCAGTCTAAAACATTGGTTATCCAAACTAAATATAACAAAAGTATGGAATATAGTATCTCGAACATAAACATAACAAACGGTTGTGTCATATTTTAGCAGTTTACTTATGACCTGAAATATCTGTAATGTACTAATTAGTTCAAGTATTGTTTAACTGTATATTTCAGTATTGTTTTTTACTTGTTAATAGAAAAGCAAAAATGTACAAGATAATAAATTATATTTATTTTTTGTCAAGAAGTAGGAGCTAAACCTTTGAAGATAGGCCATAGAAAATTTATTATTACAATAATTATTGAAATTACAGGTTAATATAAATAGTGAGAATAAAAAAGAATATCTAGAATTTATGGGTAATCAATTTTTCTTTAGTTGTCTACAAGCGTCAAGGTATTCATAGAGAAATTTATCGATAAAGAAATTATATGAGCCTGTTAGGGATAAGTAGTAATCTTTCAGTAGTCATATTATTTTTAAAATCTATCAGTAATACCTGACAGATGCTTGAAACATAATGAATATATATTCACTCATCATAAGGAATACAGATGAGTATATATCTAAAATTTATTTTCTAATAATAAACTGTTATTCATCTTCTGGGTAAGCTTCCAAGCCAGAACTCTATAGTAGTAAGTATAAGAACACACAAGAAATACAATAGAGGTTTGAAGAACAGCTAATAAGTTTCAACTAACAGTATATACAATTTATATTGTAAAAAAATTGCTGAGACTAATTGTTACATAATCTATGAAGCAAATGAAACATGAATTGACTATCAGTTTTAAAATAAAAACAGGTATTGCAAATTCGTAAAGTAAGATGGATGTTTCGGGACTGTAACAATCCTAAACAGTTTTTGTCATATTTCGCCATAACTCGTTTGTCATAAATGAATTTACTTTGTAAGAATAGATGTCAAACTAAAGGGTAATTTGTTTTCCAGTATTCTGACCTTAAATACCACTTTTATTAGTGTTCCGTTGACAAGTATCATAAATAATTAACTACTTAAAATTGAGTATAATGAATTTCTTTCTTCTCTATCCAAATATCATTCTCTTATAATGTATTATCAAACACTTAGAATGCTTTCCACGTAACATGTGGTCTCTTATCTTAGAACGGCAAATAAATAAAAAAAACTATTACAGGATCATCTATTCCCAACAACCAAAAAATCATCTATAATTCTGATCCAAAGCTACTCATAAATGATGGCATTCTACATATAAATAAATATTAATCGAGAGAATTTCTACTTCATGTTGCTTCACCAATAATATGGTGCATTATAACATTTTTGTTAAAAAAACTAAGGTCAAAAGAAATGTAAAATAAACCATATGGACTTACTATCTGAATTACGTAATCTATTTATAGGAAACTGATTGTTATGATTAGGCTTTGTATTGCTACCATACTGATTTGTGGAATATGAAGAACATGTAAAAGCTGGTAAAACTTGTGGACTAAATGAGTGTTGATTACCAGTAAGAGAATATGTATTATCCTGTTTACTTGTACCAGTTGTACTATTTGATGTAAATGATTTTTTAAAAATATTCTGTTGAGACAAACTTTGTAGCGGTGAACGTGTTGAAAAATTTACATGACCAATATAACTACGTGATTCAGTCTGTTCGGGATGTAAATAATCATGATTTGTATCAAAGATATTTGGAGAAGGCATAATACCAATTGGCTGTAGTATGGAGAGATGGTGATTATGATTTTGATAGTGATTGCTTAGCGAAGTTGAAATCGGTTGACAAACTGAATGACTGATATTCATAGGAAATTGCAAAGAAAATGTTGATTTTCTGTGGTGATTTGGAGGTTGATAATATCGTCGACTTTTTGAATCCCTCAAAAGGTAAAGAGGAAACATAGGAAATAATGTATACATACATATGTATATTATAAACTTTGAACAGTTGATTACAATCATTACTACTTATTTTGATGAAAAACTGTCTTACAGCTCTAGAAGATCACTCAGAACATCAACATTAAAACGTAGAAACATCTAGCTAAGGAGTCCTTATTCAATCGAGAAATCCATCCTGAATATTGATTAAAGTCTTTCCAAACCGTCAGTTAATTTTATAAATTCTAAAAGTGTTTTGAATTGACAGAGTTGAACTGAAAAGTATGATTTATTCAATAGATTTTAGACAATCATCTTACAAATATGTATGTAACCAAATTGTTCAGAATTTGTTTGATTAACTCCCATTAGTCACACTTAAGGAGATAAGCCTTGATTAATTAATTTATTAAACTGTTCAAATTGTTTATTTACCATAGACAACAAATGATTACTATAAAATTTTCATATCTGTTTCATTTGTATGGAAAAAAGCTACAACTACTACATGTTAATCAAAACCATGTGGAGCAGTTAGTCATTTACAAACAATAGAAAACAATTATATTTATATTATAGTCTAAACATGCTGGTTTTTGGAGTTTCACTTAGTTATTAAATAGATTAAGTGTGAAATAAAGAGAGAAAAAATTAGGGGATTTATGTAACAATTTACCACACAAAATTAAATTATTTCTTACACTAAAATCCCACTTTTTTTGGTACATCATGTACTTTCCGAGTGAAATAAAGATTTATCTATGAGTTTTGTTGAGACGTTTGTTTAAACTAACAATCTTTCGAAAGATAATACCAAAAAAGAGAAACTATTCAATGTTTTCGTCGAACTTAAAAAAGAGATTAACGTACTTGGATGAGTTGCTTGTATTAGAAGAACTTATTTGTGTTGTCCATGTCTGCAAAGGGATGGATGGAGATGTCAAAACATTGGTAGACTGAAAAGCAGGGTTATTTTCGTGCTTGCTAACTGTTTGACTATTGGTTAACAGTGGTGACAGTGAAGACAATCCCATTGCTGAAGAAACAGTTCCAGGATTATACGTATTTGTTTGGTCTGATTTTAGAGGATTTTGATAAACTCCTCGATACTGTTGTGGAAAAAAATGGTAGCTGCTAGTCTGACCCAAAGTAAGATAAGGCAAACGTTTATTTGAAGTCATTTCCTTAGGTTGTGAGTCTCCACCTTTTGTGTCTAAATATTTGTTTACAGAAGATTCTATAACTGTTGAAGTACAGTCGATTTGTTCGTTTGGCACTTCGGTAACCTGCGTTATAATAAAAAAAGCATATAGAAAGATTCATAGTTACGGTGTAACTGTAAACATTTTGCTCGATTTAGGTCCTTCTGGTTCATTACGAAGAAAGTTCTACAATTATTAGTAACAGAATTACATACAAACTATGAACTCATATCGCCAGTGTGAATTTTACTGTCAAAGTAATTTATCATGTGATTTATTCAGGAACCTGTTCACATTTATTAACATAGATAATTCTGTTTTATTTATTTTAGCTGACTGATTATACGTGATGGCCACATGTACTTAAATACTTTTGTAAAGCGGTTAAGGCGTAACACTAATTTAGGAGGAACTATTAGTTCTTGGTACATTTTTCTTTTCATCTGTTCTTTGTAGATATCAGAGGTAATTACTATAAAGTACATACATCAACTTCATTATGCGACGAAAGAAGTGTTATGGAATCAAGATTGATTGTGAACATTTATGAGAGAAAATGAATGGTAGATAATCACTTGTAAAACATTTTGTACTAATTTTTTTCAATTCCAAAAGGTTAAGAAATAGAAATTTACTGTGATACTACATATTTTGTGCTGTGAAATTTTTGGTGTATGCAAATATACGATATTTAGTATATCGATTATTATTATTATTATTATTATTATTATTATGAAATCTTTAAATGTATCTTATCTGTATTTTTTTATTAGAAGAGTAATAAAAAGTGAGAATTCCAGAATGAAATTATTACATTCGTAGGGAAAACAATGGATTTAAATAATCTTTTAAGGTGAATGAATTATAGAGATTGATTCAGGTTGAATATTATTTATCTGTTTTGAATTGTTATTAAATAGAAATCATTAGGAAACAAAGTACAATTGTCAGTGAGTTATTATTATTTTTTAAGCTTTTTTCGCAAGAGCCTACTCAAAATATTAAAAGAGGTCAAACATAAGATGATATAATAGTCCGATGTTCTTAACTTTCAATGATACTTCATGATGTAAAACTATTTTTAATGATTTGTTTGTTTTCTATAGAGTGGTAATATCGATTTCTACAATGCAACCTATCAAAACCAGATACATAATATATATTATCAGTCAAAATCAATGATTTGATTCAAATAGTAAAAGTGATAACCAGATGACTGCTATAAATACAAATAAATAATTATAATCTGAGCGTAAAAAATATAGATTATTACTGGTGAAGAAGGACATATCAACCTTAAATATAAGTTTTATCATCGAAAATTAATAAACACAATAAATAGCTGACCACCATATTATAACAATCAATGGTGTATTATTGATGAATTTAACATTATAATTAAGTTGAATAATATGGAATTGATTCATATTTTTTATAGTGCATAAGATTTATGCATATTGTAAACAATATATATATATATATATAATTTGACCCCATCAACGAACCTTGGCAACAAAACCACTATTGAACGGGGATTGGTTAGTAGTATTTATTAATGACTGATCATTAATGGTTAAATTTGTAACTTGTAACGGGGATATTGATATGGAAGCAGAGGATAAGTCAGTATCATTCAGAGGTTCACGTAAATCTTCTAATATAGACTTCGAGATTGGATTTGTTGGTTTTGGGCTCTTACATTTAACCGTTGTAAGTAGACCAAATGACTTCTGAAATAAAAAAAGTCAATAAACATTGGTGACATGGTAGGAACTTTATTGATTATAATCAGAATGATCTTAAATATTAATTGATTACACAAGTTAACTTTAATAGACTTTTTTCATAGTTTAATCAGAAAAGAAAAGGAATTTAACGACTCAATAAACCGAGTCCTAGATGGATAGATAATTCGTATAATAAGTATAGTTATGCTAGAGAACGTACATTTCAGAACGATAAATTACTATATATCTTAATATCAGTGGCTGAATAGATAGTTTATTTGAATTTCAGCTCCTGAGCTGAAAGGTTTAACTCTGGTCCGTCTGCTACAGTTTGATCAATCTGGTTGCATCGAAAAGAAAGTGTTCCTTAGCGGCAATAAAATGAAACTACATCTGATTCATTAAATGTATTAATAAATCAATTTGTATAGTATTCAAAAAGCATATATTACTTTGAAATTATTACTTCAACTAAAAAGTGAATCGAAAGTGTGAGTTGAGCGATGTTTTTTACGGAATATCGAGAATTTGTTTTAGTGATCAGAAATATTCTTTCTGAATAATATGAGCTAATAATAATTATTATATATTAAAGAAAAATAAGTTTTCCGAACATATTCTTTAGAAATTTATATTGCACAATATGGTAAATAATTTTCAAAAGGAATACTTCTGATAAAAGTTATTCTGAACATAATATGTATCTGCCGTGAACAGAATATATAAAAGTATATTTGCTTCAATGTGGTATAAATTTCCGAAAATTTCTTGCTAAACTGGTTTTATGTGATTTGTAGGAAATTAAGTTAGTTTGAGGAATTATATAAAAGTAAAGTGAATTAGATATGTTTTTATCAGAAAACAACAAATTTAATCGAATTATACTCTTAATTCTATTCAAAACAAAGCTTTCTATGTTACAATCTCATGGTGAATGCAATCATGTCTAGTTATTAATTTGAACATAATACTCTGTACTTAAAAATCATTTTCCATTAAGTTGACGGAATATATGAAGGCAAACCTCATAACGTTTAATAATTGACTATGATTGAAGAGTGTGGATGAGCATGCGAATGAATTACATAACTGAGCTCCACAGAACATGAACGTCGTAGACTCACTCTTGTGCACTACTGAAAATTCAAAAGTTAGAAAATCAGCCTTTTAGTACACTATAGTTTTCAATAGTTTCACGGATGATGTCAACTTGTGACAGCGATGATATTCATTTTATGTAATATACTACAGGGATAATAGGTCGATATAGCACTGTGGTATGTTAAGAGGGATTTGATAACCCTCTAATTATTTTTTCATCAGGTATTCATCTCATAATTTCTAGAAAACACAAATAAACTTATATATCAAGTTTATATACCCAATATTAAATACAGTTATTCCATTGAGCCATAATAAAATCATGAAATATATAATTTCCTTCAAAATAATGACTTTACATGAATAAATTTCTCTTATTTTTCATCATGCTCAAATCTCTTGTTCAGTAATATTATACAAGATCCTAGGTTCGAACCTTGGTGGGTCGAGAATGAATACCTCTGGAGAGTACCATACTTAAATAAACTAGTGATTTCCTAAACCAGAGAAATTTTTAGCCAAGGCTAAAAAATCGGATTACAAGGCTGTTATAAAAGGTTAAAATGCTTTATATTAACTGTCTAAATTTGTAATATTTCGACATAGTTTTACTTTACGTTTTCACATAAAACTACGTACTTGTGGAATAGAAGGCATCTCATTCAATCGGTCGTTCATTTTTTCAGTTACTGTTAATGATTCTTTTGAATCAGAATCATCGTTCCTATTCAAGATATTATCTGATCCATAGTGTTGTTTTTTTGAAACATTCATTGTATCTAACAAATGCTTAAGATTGAAAATAAAAAAGTGTTTATTGTTAAATGGTTATACTTTAAAATGTTCAAGTAATCAAAGAAAAGAACAAAAGGTCTACATACCCTATCTAGCACATATACTTTTTGCAAAGTATCGATATAGATGATGAATTAAACAAAAACTTGTGGTTTTGAATATGTAAAAATTGTTTTTTTCTACAAAACTTCATTGAGCTTTTCATAATTTCATACGATTAGTTAATAACTAAGTAGTGACAAATATTACGTTTTTCAGTCGTTTAAGACTGATAAAACGGTATCAATCGGGTTGCAATGTGATCACTAGCCTAGATGTCTTTGCATGACATGTACTATGTCAAGATTTTAAGTGGTTGGAGCTAGTTAGCAAGTGATCCGGGCCCGAATTTCTCAGGAAGCACCAGTTTTCCTAAGATTGCCGATATGCAATATATTCAAGACAGACAAATCACTGGTAAAACCTCTTTTACTATATGATTTTAAAAGCAGACCAAGAAAAGAAAGTTGATATTCGACAGAGTGAATCGAATTGACTGTTTTGTTGAAAAGACCATATGCTATTACAAAGTAAATACATATCTTATCAGATTTCCAACATTATGTCGGACTCCTGAAAACGTTTTTCGAGGATGCTAAATGTTAATGACTATTTGGAAGAAGAACAGTCTATTTAGGTTTGAAACAACTGCTTTAATCGTATTTAATGCGAATTACTCTGATATTTACATACATTTGATTCGAAGAAGGTTGTTTAAGGATATTATCATATAAAAATGATCGATGAACAAAACTGTATAAAACTGGAATTACTTTTATTATAATGTGCATAGTTTACAATGGTTATGTAAGCAGAAAATAGAAAAATACGAAAAAAAACATTGAATGAACTAGGTTTAAGAAACATAAAAGAAAATCATTAGGAAATTTAATGAAGATAAAAGAGATAAAAACGTTTAACTAACATGTGGATCAATATTTTCATCATGTACTAAATACTCATTATATAATTGAGATTTAACTGCAATTCTTGCTTTAGACGCTACATATGTTAAGTTAACCTGTTCATCAGCCATAGTAGATTTTAATTTATTCCCTTCCATTTGTGTAGATTTAGTATTACTTGAAAAATCGGTAGAAATATTGGATGATTTATTTTGCTAAAAATAAAATATTTTTGTAAATATGTTTTGTGCATAAAATCAATAAATAATCTGGAAAAACGTTCGTTCAAGGTATACTGATAATTATACAAGACTTTAATGGCTTCTTAATAATGAAAATAGATACGGTATCATAAATCTATTTGATATATTTAAATTGAGTTTATATAAAAAATATTGAGAATGTGTAATATATATCTTTCATGAACAATTTTGTTTTTATAATGAACTATTAGAAACATTCACCTTATAACTAGTTTGCAGATGTATTTCTTTTTTTTGACTATTCATAAAGCAGATATCTAAAAGAAATCTATATTCTGACAAACTTAATAACGTTTTAATGATAGTAATCAAATTTTACTTAGTATAAATTGTAAATACAAATCAGAAACACTGTTGATGATATGCGAATCAGCGTTTAATCTTTATGTTGAATTAGTAAATCTGTTCATACAGTCATTTTATTTCTATTTTTAAGTAAATCTTATTGAGACGAGATAGAAGTAATCAAGTTCAGTCTTTCAAAAGGTTTATTCTTGCAGAAGTAACATATGTACAATCATTTATGAAGCCTTCATACCAAACTGTTTGTTCCATTTATTATCAGAAGGGGTTTTATGGAGATTTTAGTAATTTCAATAGTTGAGATCATGAGTCAATTGAAGTTAGACGACCGTGGAAAACCTGAAAGCACTGGACAGGCGTTTTGTTCTATTGTGGGACTCCTCAGCAGTGCGTATCACCGACCTCGGCTCGCAGTATTCAAACCCAGGACCTACTGGTCTCGCGCGTGAGCGCTTAACCACTAGACCACTGAGCCGGCATTCTGCGGTGTTAATGTCCAACTTCAACTAATCCACGAAATTAAGCGACACATCCACCGTTGTTATCAGTAAATTACTATCCCACATTTATGTTGATAAGAATAATGATCTTCAAAATTATAGAATGGATTATGTAAGTCTTGATCATTTAGGAAGGTATTGAATATGTGCTACAATTGCTTCATGAAAACCATTTTCAGGATTTGAAAAACACCTTCCACACAATTTAAATTCGACAGTATTATCTCATATATTCTAATTGCTCTGAAAATCCAAGTCGTGATATTTAACGATTCCGATATAAGAGTTTGCAAAATCGATTGAAAGATTTTAAGCCAGAGGAGAAACGAAATTTGAGTTATTCCCAACATCGGTGTTAATAAATATTAGCAGATATAAGAAGAAACTTTATTTTACTTCTTTAAAAACTTACTTAACGGAATCTCGTTAACACTTAAATAGATAACAGTAACCACTTACTAAATATATGACCCGTCACAAATATCCGTAGGTTCACTGTACATAAAACGATTATGCCGAAAAATTGTAATGAGTATGTTTATGTCGATTTTGTGGAAAGTTTCATTTTTCTGATTACTGAACTACTGTTATACCTATCTGATAGGCACAGAAGTTAATAGACAAATACATTAGGTTTTCAATACTATCGGTTTAACACACGATCTTCAGACAGGCTCATAAAAGAGTTCATTCCATGTTACATACATAGTAATATCAATTTATAGACTATATGAAAATACAAAGGTACTACTTACAGTACATTTATAATTACAGCAAAGTTTAAATTTTAACATTCAGTATCGAAATAGTCGGTTAACTAAAGATTTTTTGTATTTTAATACAAGTAAATTTTTGTGAAATTGGTCCATGTTTTTATTGAACTCCAAGACACTATACTGAGTTTCTATAATTCTTTTTTATCCAATTGCTGTAATGATATTCACAAAAATGTGAATAAATAAAACGGACTCATCTGTTATTTCTATCATTTTAGTTTAAAATAATTTGTAAATTTACGTTTTTTATTATATCTAGCTAGATGTAGGTTATTAAATATTAAAAAACACAATCCATAATTTTATCAATATAGGGTTGTGGACATTGTTCTGTTTAAATTGGTTTCATGAATGGATTAATGTTAGATCATCACTGAAAACCTGGAAGAACTGGATGGCCGTTTTGTCCTAGCATGGGACCCCTAAGCAGTGCACATCCACGATCCTGAAAGCGGGACTCAGACCCAGGGTCCTCAGTTTTGTGGATGAAGGCTTAATCTCTGGATCACTGAGCCAGCTTTCAACGGTGTTAATGTCTAACTTCAACCAATCCACGATATTGCGTGACCATTCACTATTATCTCCAGCGAGTAACTGCCTCACAACAGAGGAGTCCCACGTAAGGCCAAACGGCCGTCTAGTACTTCTAGGTTTTCAATGGTAGTCTAACATTGGTCCGTTCATGATACCAATTCAACTTCATAGTTCATTTGCATCAAATATTCAATTCAATTTGCATAATTAAAACAATTCTAGTCAATTATTAAACATTGTTACAAGTTATAATGTGCGTAAATCAATATGTGCTGAGACAACTCACTTCAGTAATTTCATTATTATGTAGACCAGCTTGTAATGTTACTGACAAATCAACATGATCTGGAGTTATTGTTTTATCTTTATTTGGGTTCTTCACATTCATTACATCTGACAAAAAATGTTTAACGGCAGTAGTTGATATAGTGCTAGTATCAGTACACGTATTACCAGTGGTAGTAGTAGTAGTAGTAGTAGTAGTAGTAGTAGTAATATAAGTTATTATTGGTGTCGTCGTTGTCGCGGTTGTGTTAGAAACTTTTGACTGCACAAAATCACTGTTATTATTACTGATTTTACATTGTTGATCATTTTTAACTTGTGTTTGGTTATTATTATTGTTTAGATTATTAACGGTATTCTTACTACTGGTGATATTGGTCGAGGATGAAGGTACATTTGAGTTTGTTTCGCTTTTAATTAGTGTTTTTAGCTCTTCCAAGAATATAGATGCGAAATTCTCACTAGTAAAATATTCACTTCGTAAAAGAGCAGATGATGTCGGTCGATCGTTAGCATCGATTCGAAGACAACTCTAACAAACCATGAATATTTAAAGATTTTGTAAATTATAAAAAAATATTCAAGGTTATTCAAAAATAAATTAAGTGAAAGTTATTGTTTACGTATAACAAAATATTTATAATTGTGTGGAAGAATAGGTTAATAAAAATCAAGTATACAGAGTATAACTTGTGAATATAGAGCTGTGAATAACCACCTCTTCAAATATCATATCTATTTACATTATTTTATATTGATTGTTCAGATTATATGGACGTTATACGGTCACATTTGGAAAGTCATCAAAAAGTCTCATACAACATGGTCCAATGGAAACCTTAAACAAAGTAAAGACGAAAATATTCTTGATTGAAATCACGAGTCGATGAATGTTAGACCATCATAAAAATCTTGGAAGCACTGGAAGACCGTTTCTCCCTAGTAAGGGACTCCTTAGCAGTGAGGGATCGTGGATGAGCACTGCTAGAGAGTCTCTTACGAGGACGAAACGGTCGTTCAGTGCTTTCAGGTTTCCGATCGTGGTCCAACGTTCATCGACTCATGATCTTAATCAAAAACTCAACAATCTCCAAAACCCCATACTGGTAAATTCATTCTGTTTTCAGACTTTTTTATCAGCCTAATGTTTCAAAAATTAATATTTCATTAATAAAGGTTTGATGTACTTTAGTTGATATTTACATCAACTTGATACAGGAAAAATTCTTAAACCCCCATACTAATTAGGAGTTTCTTCTATGGGATATAAGTTTAAATTATTTAATACCAACAAGCGTGTTTTCGTTTTCATGTGATTCTTCATAAATTGCTATGACGAAGTCCCAGAATCATCTATGTTCCAAACTTTAATTTATTGGTTTGATGAGTGCGTTATGATTTTCATGATGACATGATTGATAATGAAATGAAAATGTTCGAAATTCCTACTATAATTTGTATTTATTATTCTGTACTTTCACATATGTTATCACACTAAATTCATAAATTTAAGCCAATGGCATATGAAATTTATTGGCATGATTCTATAACTAAAACATTTTCAATGAGCATAAAAGTCGTGCCCGAGCATGTGTGGCTTATTTTTTATCATTTTATTTGTGATGGAATACAACATAGCCTAACCTATTGTCAAGACTTTATAGTAGATAATGGAGTTTCAAAATTTTTCAGTTACTCGTGGGAAATCTTATCAAATACAAAATTCTTCTTCTTTATCAGTTAAACAGTTTTCGGTTTGCTATAGTGTTAATTTTGCTATTAAATGTCTCTCAAAGTGAATGAATATGCAGACTCAAGTATTATCTTTGCAGCAATAAATCTTTATCATGCACATATTAGTTGACTAATATGTCGATAGCTTAAATGTAATTAACACTTCATGCATCAGCGATGCTAGTGCAGTTTTTCACTTTAAGACTTTCCATCTCAACATAAAAACGATGCTAATACTACCACAAAAACCACAAATAAAACAAACAGATTTCGAAAAACCAAAATTACGGTGATACTCGGATTCCAAACTCTGCCAACTCATAAAGTATAATTTCAAATATATTTACTAAAATTAGTATTATAACTCAGTAAACGGCTACTCATTTAAATGATTACCATACTTTCCTTGTTCTCTTTTCTTAGGTAATATAAAATACGTGTCACAGTTTTTAACTACCTTTATAAATCCAAGAGTTATTTTCGAAACCTTAGCTAGTCGTTTATCCAATGGATCGATTTCTTTTGCAAATGGAACTCTCATACCAACAAAAAGTGGATTTCGATGAAATATATTTTGATATTTCTCACTTAGATTACCTATAAAAAGAGTAAGATGATCAAGAGATTTATGAATACTTTAGTTATGATAACACTAACTGCTTAATTTTAATACATAAATTTGTTGACTAGTTAGCAAAAAATAGTGGATGCAATAATAAATAAAGCAAAAATATTTATAAATCTATGCATCCTATGTAATAACATGCATGTTTGTTTCACTTTCATGTAAATTGTTACGTCTTCTTTTGGTCTACAAAAACGTAGTTCATATATATTGCTTAATTTAACAAGTTTGTTTCAAATGAAAATTATGATCGTTATCGATATCCAGTGTTTTTTTTCTCTCAAATTTCCCTTCTTTGTGCTTATGTTGAATCATTTAGATGTTTCGGGATTGATTGTCATATGTTTTCGTATCTTTATAATATACTTTCACATGTTTCGATAAACCTGTCATCATTCCTTTCTTATAAGAGGTAAGAACCATGTTCAACTAAGAAACTTTGTATTTCCTGAACTTGGCACTTTGATTTTCTACCTTTGATTGCCATTGTTAAGTAAGATAAAGCTGGAACTTAAGAAAATATTTTCACTTTTTACTTATTTCGTTTTGTGATTTTATCTTTGAACAGTTTTTTAAATCAGTTAGTTAGTGCGTTTACACACCGTGTTTCTGATACACCATAATAGTGTGATAAATCTCTCAAAGGTTGGAATCTGACGAGTTACATATAATGAGATGGAGGTTATGTGGACGTTTTAGTGCGTATCAGCAAACTTACTTAGTTTGAAGGATTGTTTCATCTTGATCGGAGATTTAATGGCATACTAGAGGAAACAGCGGTAGATTTTTTATCTGTTTTAGGTTTGTATACGTCGATATTACATAACGAAAATCTTATATGGGGTCAAATTCAACACTTATTGGTTTCTCAAAAAATACTACACCATTCATTCACTTGGTCAAAGACCAGTTGTTCAGCTTTTACACTGGATTCTGAATATTTCTGAACCATCAGCCGTTGCTGGATGTTCATTTAAATTCAAACTTGGTTGACTACACATATTCTGAATTCTATCTAAAACATTTTAACACATCCATTTCACACAACGTTTTGTAAGTTAATTTAATGCAGATCATATCTTCATGATATACTATAATTTTGAGGTGATTGTATTTAAATTTAGAGTGTGAACGCTTTTCTTTCATTACTACAAAATAAGAATAACTGAATCTTACACAGAAAACTATTCTTTCAACGTCTATAATGCCTATAAATTTGTAAAGCTATTACAGCCTTATTAACTATTGTAATTCCTGGTTTGTATTTTTTCAAGGAAGATTCATCTAAAAACGAAAGAATTAATGACTTTAGAGCTTTATCTAAGTGGAACTCAAGAATATCAAAAGAATAATGCAGGTGAGTAAATGTCTGAATAATAGTAAAATTACCATTCAGATAATCCAGAGAAGTTATTTTTCTTACAGATTTACTATTGAGCTTACCAAGCACTTGTTTATTAATATCTGATTTATCTTATAATTAAAACCATACAGTGAATGTAAATATCCTTTAAATAGCTCATTCTTATATGTAGAGATTTCACATGAATAAGAAATTAAGTCAGTACTCATTAAGGATGGGCACATTAATAAATATAAGCCGTTAAGTGGGTCTAAACGAAACATAAAGTAATTATTTGGATGCAGTTAAGAGTATTATTGAGTTAATCATTACAGTGTCAAACACTTTCGCATACAAAAAGTGACCAAACAAACCCAAATTTGATAGCGGGAAATGGTAGACACAAAACATTCATAAATGCCGAAAATCCTTCAAAAAATTCTTCATTACAGTTTTAAATTGACTACATCAATTGACATGAAATTTACTTTTCCAAAACATACTGGATTACAATATATATATATATATATATATATATATATATATATATATATATATATACCGTGCAGAGATATACCAACAGTCCAACAAAGATACTATGGTAACAGCATCGTCATTGGTTGAAATGAGTTTTGGTTCTCAGGTTCCATTTTTTTAAAGTCACTTTTCTACATGTTTTCTGCATTCCGATAGTTGGGAACTTTCAATTTTTAATTTTTCATAACTAACATTAAAAACTTATTTATTTATATAAACTATTTTTAGAAGCTTGATGTTGTCATTCTTAAAGAGAATCGATTTTCCTGTTGAGATTTTCACTTCTCATTCTTGCTCATGTATTTAAAAGATTTAAAGTTCGGGTAAATATTTTGGACAATCAATGCACTACATTTATTTTTACGAGAGTTATTCAACTGTTTCCTTAACTCACCCTTCTCTATTTAGTACACAAAAGTACTCGCTCTGGATTTAGAATACTTCAACACTAATACTTCACACCACATACCATTCATAGCTGGACAGTCATCTAGAACCAAGAACCACTAAATAGATTTTTCATTCTATTATAAAACTCCTCAGAAATGTGCATCAAGGATCCCACCATAGATCGAACCCAGGACTTTCGGTTTCATTATAACTACTTAACATTCAGACTATCGAGCCAACATACATTGGTGTGCGTGCCTTACCTCAATCGATTTGCGATATTGCTGTGTATCATGCTGTGTAATTTTATTAGTCTTCAGCAATAATCTTGTGCTCACTAGCGACAAACTACGACTGGTAATTTCATGGTTTTTACTGAGAAGCCGTGACTAGCAGAGTTCGATCATACGGGACATCAAATAGTTATCAGCTGCAAGCTATGGAAGATGGCCGTCCTATATCGAGTATTTACTGAAATCAGATATGCAAACTATTGAATGCCAACCCGTTGATACAGAAGCTTAGAGATCACCGCGAGACTTTAAGATTCTCGGTTCTCTCCTTAACTGAGTCGTGAATGTGTACCGTTGAGAAGTCTCCTACGAGAACGGAACAGCTGTTTAATGGTTCCTGGTTTAAATGTTTGTTTAATTAGGATTAGTATTTGATTTAAACTACAAACACTTCCCTAATCTCTGCAAACTCTCTGTACTAATATATTCCAATAGTTTATAAAAAATCTGAATACACGTTTTTCAGTCCTATCAACAAAAGTAATCTGTAATCTAATTTCAATTGAATCTTGATATATTGTCTTGTTTAAATTTTAGGCACTACTCATCAACTTTTTAAAAAAATAACTACAGAAAACGTAAACATTAAGATATAGATATATATAATATAAGTAGGAAAAAGATTACTACAATTAAAAATCCGTGCATGGAAAATCGATATTTGGCTTAATAATTTTTTTCTTAAATAATAAAAGATTAATTTGAAACTGACGTTTCATAAAACTATACACAGTTAATCAACATAAATGCGATACCGATGAGTTAATTTTCAACTCTACGATTTTATGCATATACATACCAAGTGAAGAGTTCACCTTCATTCTAATCAACGATTAGGGGTTTATGAACCATTTTCATACGAAAATGTCAACTACTTGGAGATTCCTCTCTATATAAAGTCAATTTATACAATATTGAAGGTAAACTTAGATAATATCTAATATTATTTATTGTTGCCTTATTCATCTCTTATTCAGCTCTTTCTAAATCTTGCCACTTAAGTCTGTCTTTTTATTTTAAAACATGCTGAATTCAAACACATTACATATTTTTGTTTCAGTCATCTTGAACTCACCTAATTTCAGAAAAATGGATAGTTATGGTATTTACCAAATCTTACTAATACATAAAGCTTAATAAGTTAGATTTGCTTTTTCATTCACTTTGAACTAGGTTTGTGACTATAATGTTGCGTAAATAGCCGTTCAACACAAGACAGAGAAACTCAAAAATAAAACCATGAGTTTTATACTGTTCCACGTCTTAAATTAGAGCGGAATGTATTTTGTATAAATGCATAAGACTCTGTTATGAAAGATAATATCTCGTCAACAGTTAAATGATATGAATTGATGGTTACCAGTTGAAGTGTTCTATTTGTACAACCATTATTCCAATCAAATTATTACAGTTGCATATATAAACTAATTAATACGTTGGTATGCATTTTAAAAAAAATGGCTTGATGTTAATTGCGAAGTAAAATATTTGTATATTGTTGACTATGTTTACAAAACAATTATTTCCCACTACAAAATAATTTCATTATTTAATAAAAAATGTATCAGAGTACATATAATTCGCCAATTTCTTGCTTGCAGAGTTCTAGTATCTCATGTCCTACAGTAGTTTTATAAGTATACTTGGTGAAAACATCTAATATTTTTAGCATATTCGTTATTCAATATAAAGTATCGAGGGTGACCTGCGAGTCGTTTATCTTTTTTTCCATTTATTTATCAATTTAAAATATCTCTGAACCTTATGGGTTATAGATTGATAGCTCGTATTGTTTATAAATAAGTTTGTGAAAGATTGTAAAATGAAAAGCTCAACCATTATCAGTTACTTTCATGTAATCCAATATTATTCAGTTCAATAAATTGGACATTTTTATTAGGATGAATATATAACAGCAATTATTAATAGAAAGATAGTGGTAACTTTTCATTTTCTCTATGATAAAAAACATATTTTCAAACAAATGTTATATGTTTTAGTTTCTTATTTAACATGGTTAAAATATGATTTACTGAATGAAGAAGTTTATTTTCTTTGATTAAATTGGAAGTCAATCTATAACTCAATGCTTTTTGTTGTGTAATATATATTTTTAAATATACTATTCATATTTAACATTAAAATTTAGTAATTGAATAACTATAGTTATAATAAGATATTAAATATTTGTTTCAAATTTAGAAGTTATTCACAAAATATTTATTCTTGTAAAGCGTTCAATATGATGTTTTAAATAGTTTAACTCATGTCCTCATAGTAATGAAGATAAATGTGTTTGCTAAAATGTATCAAATACAATTCCTATTTGATCTTGAAATAACCAAACACGATTAAGAAAACGATAAGTTAATTGCAAAACTCTATGGTATAGATTAGAATTAAATAATTC